GTCGTTTAGAGGCCTTAAAGAAATCCATTCTAACACTTCAAGCCATCAAAGCAGCCTCACCCCCAATTTAAAGAATTGGTCATATTAATTAGACGAATTCTTGAGTAACTTTCTTGGGATAGAATTTCGTCCAAAGCGAAAAAAATGTGGAAAAAAGTTGCCTCAGACCGGATGATTGAAAAGATGGAAAGGAGGACAACTCTTTTTTCGGATAAGTGAAGCACAATTTAGTTTAAATTAAAATAGTGGGTAAAGGGAGATTGCAAACTGAAGTCACCTTACACATTCTGCTCTATCGAAACAAGCAAAAGAAACAAACACTGCTAGTTTTCTCATCCTCCGTTAGTCTAATTTAAAACCTAAAATACCTAAGATTGAGGACAAATATTGTTTTGTGCTATTGTATCAAGAATGGAAGCAGAACAACATTTCAATGCTCGAACTTAAGTTGACTTAGATAATCTTTGCAGCAAAGATAACTATTTTTGGCTTTCCATTAAAACTTTATTTCCTGGACTTATTCTTAAACGTAAAGCGTCCTATTACCACCCATCCTACTTTCTTAGCTTACCAAATCATCTCTAAATTCATAATTTTATTGCCAAACTATAGTTGCGTTCAAGCGTAATCAAAAAAATATTATTTACTTTAAAACTATACAGAGATGGTGGACGTGGAAGAGGAGAAGGAGGCGAAACAGTGATTTACCACGTCTAGACGGTGGTGATGAATCCCGAGGACTTGTCCCCATTGCCCATCATTGCTGACGTCATTGGGACAACTTCTGGATGGTTCTCTTCCACAGTCGTCGCAGTGGGAGTATCAGCAAACTCCACATGCTTTGTTTTGAGCGTCGTCGAGTTTCTTGATGGAGGAGGAAAGGGGTTCAGCTTAATCGTTCTTGTCGTCCGAACTACTGGACTTAGTTGGGAATCAACTCTGGTTCCATTTCCTTGTGGAGATCCCAATGAAGCCAGCACGTTTCCATGCCTGGGACAGAGCACATAGTCGGCCGCCTGAGCATTTGCTCCAGACTCTGGCTCCCCCACCAGCATTACTGAAGACGAGGTAATCGGTGTTGCTAACACTTCGGGAATTTGTGATACCGGAACTGTAGTAAGGCCTCCATAAGCATTCATGCCTTTGTCCAGAGTATTAAATCTTGGACTGCCTAAATCGAAGGATTTTTCGCTAGATATGAAAGAGGAAGAAGACTTAGAGATTCCATGAACTGGACAGCTACCTGCAACGTCCACCCCTCCATGCTCAGCCATGGAATAAAGCGGATGACTATCTTGAAACGAGAGGATGTAAGGTTGGTGATGCTGAGTGAAGGAGAGATCGTGAGATGGCGAATATCGTGGAGGTTGCAATCGTCGGCTGTTAACGGCTCCATCTGTGGTAACCGAGTGAATTCCATTCAATGGCGCCATCTCAGTGAAGGACGACTTCGGATGCGGTGGATTGGACAAAGCCTTTGCAACATTTTTTGGTGATCTTCGACACAAACAGTAAAGAATTGTTCCCACAGTGATGAGAAGGATCACTATAATGACTGCTGCTATGCTAGAATACTTGAGCACTGTGTTGGAATTGAACTGATCCAGCCAGCCAATGAATCCTACTTCAGCGTTCCCTCCCTGCATCCATTTTGAATCAACAAGACTCAGTGTGATGGTTGTATTTGCCTTTCCAAAATCATTTTTCAGAAGACATATGTAAGTTCCAACGTCAGAATCTTGTATCCCCGATAAAAATAGTTCCACGGCAATTTGACCATGATAAACCTGTCTTACTCGTACCCGAGATGTGGAGACAATCGGGTTACCGTTCTTATACCACAACACCTCATCCACAGAGGAAGCATCAAAATCACATGTAAGGGTGATATTATCACCCATTTTTCCGCGAACAACAAAAGAAGATCGTTTTGGTCTAGGAGGACAGGCCATTTCAGAGGGAACGATGGGGTTAGTTTGTACAGTGAGGATAGGGAACAGCGCACGTCCAGCTAGACGGGGTGGAGATGCACACTTAGGATAGGCAACATTCTCCATGGACCCTGGTTCCATCGGTAGCAGTGGATCAGCCACGTATCCATTTGCATCCACCCCTCTAGGATCGATGTAATACTGAGTGGTGTTGTGTCGATCCATCCACTCTCGCAACCATCGCAAAGTACAGTCGCAACGCCATGGATTGCCAAATAGGAAGAGCTGTTTTAACTGCATTGTTGTGAATAGCCCATTGAAAGTGTTGGGAAGGGTTTCGATGTTGTTATAGGAAAGATCCAGAATCTCCAACTTAAACAGACCTTCCAGTGCCTCAGTAGAGATGTGGAAGTCTGGGCTGGCTCCAGCCAGAACCAGAGAACGCAGTTTATTCCGCATGGGGTAGAAGTAGTGTGCTGGCACTCTACCGATAGGATTTCGCATGAGATTTAGCGCCTCTAGTGTGTTGACACTAGTTAATGCATTAGGATGAAAAGAATCTACGGCAAGAGTGAGATTATTAAACCGAAGACTGAGTTCTCGAAGGTTTGGGACTGGAAGGAAAGCATCTCTTCTTATAACTGTTAGTCCGTTCGAATCCAAATCCAAGTATGTCAGATTTGGCAAGTGTTCTAGCTGACGTCTGTCAAGGACCTCTATGTTTTGATGGTTGATTGTGAGCCTAACAACATCCCTTGGTAGAGTGGAAGGGATTTGGGTGAAATGAGTATCCAGTCTATCGCAGATACTGGACTTTTCGTTGTAGTCATCATCCGGCACGTAGGTGACACAGCCCTTCACTGAGCGGACTCGGTTGACGTACACTGGAAGCATGAGCAGCAGGGGCAGGAGAACTAACCGGGGGATCATTACAAGGTCGTATTAGCACCAAGAGGCCATAATGAAGAGCTTCGAAAACTTATCCCATCCACGGCACTGGTTACTCGAATAAGACATGACACGCCTCTTCGTATTGTGAGCCCATAGCCAACCAATTATCGAGGCCCTGCAGCTCCATCTACCTCTGATTGGTACATTTGCGCAACCAATCAAACTAATTATGCTTCCATTCCCATTGCCTTTAAGGTTAGATGCCCTCCACAAAAAAGTTCCCTCCACTAACAAGTCTAAATAAGTCGTTTTTTGCTAAAGTGTTTTGATGGCCAAGTTTTCCTGATTAATATTTCCTAGTTTTAAAAAAAGCAGGAAGAAGAGTTACGTAAGTCGTCTTTACTGCGTACCAATCATTTGCCCAGGCATCGGAAGTTGGCAATTCCCTTGGGTCTGTTAGTTCAATCATCACAACACAGTGAGCAAAATCGTTGGAACCTTAACCACGTCCTTAAATGTTTAGAGATGAAAGCATATCATCCACGCAAGCCTTGAGCAATACCGCCTTGACCACCAACAAGAGCAGGTCAAATGACGGTTGAATGCAACTTAGAGGTATTTAGGTCATGGTTTCGATAATGTTAATCCGATTATTACTGCACTGACTACGAACACTAGCACCAGTCTATTTCTGATATCTTCGTTGTTAAAACAATATATTTTAGAATAGCAAAAAGGCATTTCTTGAAAGTTCAGGAATTACAAAGGGAAATAGCGTCTCTAATGAGAGGGCATTCTCTTTGCATCTCAACAAGCTGAACACAAATGATCTCAGTAATTATGCAAACGACTTGACAGGCCCGACCGGTCCCATCACCGCTTGGTTGTTATTCCTCTCCTTTGCTGAGATAAAGATTAACTCCTCCGTTCTGGCTAATCCGCATTTGGAGGCTCTAATTGCTCAACTGTGAAGGAACCCTGAAATAAAAACATTCACACATTCTGGTGTTATAATTGCTCCCTTTGATTAGCCAGTGCTAAGAAATCGAATTCCCTTCGTGTTCCTCGTACAAGTCAAACTCCTTCCCAGCCCTCTACGCATTGCATCGATTTCGGAGCTTCACAAGTCCTCGCGTTGTCATCGCATAGCAGAAGTCTTTTTATTCCACTTATGGAACCAAGTTTAAGAAGGTGTACGCCTCCTAGGATCAACTTCGCATGCAAATTCATGCGAGGAATGAGGAATTTCGATGCCCTCGTCCATACCTTCGTATTTGATCGACTTTTACCTTTATCTATGGA